GTTGTTACTAATAATAAAATTATTGTAAAATTACTTAATAATACCCTATTGCAAGGTAATATTAAGTAATAATATATAACTGACTTTGCCCATCTCTATTTTGAATGTCGGTAGGATTTTGATTGTCGTGATTTTGAATGTTGGCAGGATTTTAATTGTTGTGATTTTGAATGTCTTTTGAATATTGGCGGGATTTTAATTGTGGTGATTTTGAATGTCTTTCGAATGTTGGCGGGATTTTAATTGTCGTGATTTTGATTGTCATGATTAGCAAGATTTTGATTGTCGTGATTTTGAATGTTGGCGGGATTTTGATTGTCGTGTTTTTGAATGTGTCGGGATTTTACTTTCAAGATGAAATTTTGTGTATTGAGATTTTGCTATAAAATCAACACATTTCAAACGGGTATCTTGCATTTAAAAAAAAAAACAAATTATCACAACTCCAATTATAATAATAAAACAGACATGGAAGAATTCTTATCTGACGCTTCATTTGTTAGTGAAGAAGAAAAAATTAATAGTGACTTTAGCCAAGAATCTAACGACAGTATTACGGTGGAACATCATGAGGAGGATTTCGCGTTTGACTGGCAATCATTAAAAAACGCAAGTGAATTAGTAGCCGAATCTGATGAACTACCTGAAAGTGACGAAGAATTGCAATTATTAAGAAGAGCTGACGAAACAAATGAACTTCTTGAGAGTGATGCTGAATTCTCTGAAAGTGAAGACGTATTTGAAGAAGAGTTTGTAAAACCGATTCCCCTAACCCTGGCCGTAATGCTAATCATTATTGTGTAATCGTTGATTATAATAAAGATCAACACACAATTCAAAAATGCAACGCCCTAGCAAATCGTAGAGTGCATGAACTAGCTGGTGCGTGGGAGGTTGATCCTCATGCTGTGAAAGAAGCTGGAGAAGATCTTTCAGTGCTACGTATTTGTAATCATCACCTTAACTACGATAATTTGCTGCATCCACGTTCACCTGAATCAGGAAAAAAAATAAAGTCAGAACGGCCAATTGATAAAAGTAATGTTGTAGGATATCGTTGTTTATTTTGCAATAAAATCAAGAGCTTTTTTACAAGAGGTGAGACGTGTTCAGACCATACGCGGATTATATGTGGTCGTAAAATTCAAGTCCCATGTCGAGGATTATTCAATTGCCCATCGATTACCATATATGCTGGGTTATCAGGTGGACCACCAACTAACGAACAACCTCGTTTTATTTGCACAAATTGTTATGTAATGCACGGAGGTCATCTACATATTCAGCCAGGGAAAAAGGGAAAGCAAATTTCATATAAAGAAAGAGGTGAACATGATAATGATGCTGCATCTTCTTTGAGTTTGTTTAGTAAGTGGATTGAACAAACTGCTGCATCAGATAATGAAGCAGCAAAAGTTAATTTGTTAAAAGAACTTATTAAAATATTAAATAACATTACCGCCAATGTACAAATTAGTGTAAGTGCATTCTCAACTACACCTATAATTAGTGCAAGTGCATCCTCTACTGCACCTACAGTTAGTGCAAGTGCACCCTCCACCGCTTCTGTAGTTCCTTTTCTAATAAAAACGGCATTTAAAATTAAAAGAATTAATATCACTAAAGAAGCACAAGCAATGCAACTGAAAGAAACTACATGCAAAGATTTCGGAGAAATACTTGCACACTCTATATTAAATGCACGGCTGGAACTCAAACAGAAATTACCATCGATCGAAGAGCCGAAATCACTAGATGAATACCATAATGCCATGCCAGCTCCACTTTTAAATTTTTTTACGGGCTTGATTTCAGCTCTAAAAGAAAAGAGAAGACAAGTATTAGCTAGAAAACGTAAAGAGCGAAACTTGCCCTCACCACAATTAGATGAAAAAAAAATTGTGAAAATTTCTCTTTTTTTTACCTCTGTGTTACTTGGTATTGCCTTTCCTCGCTGGAAAATATGGGTTACGCAGATTCTTTCTTCACTTTGCCGATGACCAAAAATGATAGGATCTCTCCATAAAATTCTTCACGAAGTCAATGTGGTTTCATATGTTAGAGATCATGAAGTGCGTGTTCAAAAAAAAAGAATGTCAGCTTCGGATCCTCGAACAAGGCTCGACTTGCGTCCAAATATCTTGAATATAGCGGTTATAGATAACATTGACACGAAGGATACCACTTTTCAATATGGCAACGTTTATGATGCAGTTCGTGCTACTGCATACGCAACGTTGCGGATGGTCTTTCAGTTTCAACGTCCAGAAATTGCCAATTCAAATAATGAGACATTGGGAAGTCAGAACCTCTTTGGTGTAAGTCCTATAATGGAAGAATGGCAAAAAAAATTAGATTCTATATTTATTCAACTAATTAAAGAAAAGCCATCATTTGATGCTGAAGACGTTGATACAGCTATTAAAAAACACATTGACTCGGCATTATTCGTAGCTCCTCCTAACGTAGTAATTCTTCAACCAGGTGAGGCTCCAAGCAAAAATGAACACGTTCATCGCACAGTTGACATGTTTCTAGAGGACTTTGGGTATACAGAGAGCGGTGCGCTGAATTTAGTTTGCGATGAGGCGATTTATCGTCGAATGTATGACTACAATAATGAAGAGCAAACAGCACATTGTATTTTAGGACAATGGCATACAAACAAAGCGATGTGTAGCGCGCTTATTGCCGCTTTTTCAGGATATGGACTTTTTGGGCTTGCTAAACGAATTGGCGTTAGGTTTCTTGACAGACTTGTGCAAATCGCCGACTACCGGGCAACATTTCGAGTACTCGAGCTTACCTGGATAGCTGTTGGGGTTGCAATTCACCTATATGCTAAAGAAAATAATATTTCTATTAATGATATTCCTAAAGAAAACAATGAATTACTAAAAACATGGTATAATTTTTACCAATGGGCTGGGTACTTGAAATTACATAAACTTGGAATTCGTATGGCAAATTTCGACTTGCAGATTCACAGCTTAATGGCATTTGCTCCTTTATTCCCTAGGACAAAAAAATATAGGTATTCTGAATCCGTAGCACGATTTTTGACAGACCTTGAAAGAGAACCACAATTCCTCCAAGATCTTCGAACAATACCCTCAATCAATTTGACACAAGAAGGTCATTATTTTGCTTTTGACGAGGCTCTAGAAACTTTTGGCGTGAAATTTGTAAAAGACTACATGACTGGACGCGCAACTAATTCTGATAACCTGAACCTAATTATTAAATCAGCACAATCAGAATATGAAAGACTTGATTTGTTAGTTTCAGAGTTTGTTGAAGATCAGCCAATAAGCAGAAAATTATGGCCTGTTAAAAATCGTAAAGAAGCTTTTTGGGATCTAATTTTTGAGCTCAAATTAATATTTGACGACTTGCAATCAGAGACATGTACCTTATTTACAGAAACTACCCAGTTAACTGGTAATGGTTACCAGCGGATGTTTGCCTGCTACCAATCAGGAGTCAAAACAATGGAAACCTATGTCGCTACCGGATCAAAAAAATAGAAAAGTAAATGGGATCTTATACCTATGAAAATAACAAAAAATAAAAAGAAAGAAGAGGTGAACAGTAGTTCTCTACAAACTTCGGAATCAAATAATATGGAGGTTGAAGGAACTAACATCGAAGCCATACAATCAGCATCTGAAAATGAACTTGAAGTTCCAATGTCAACTCCAAAAAAACGTAAGAAACATAAAGCCACATATGAAGAAGAACAAATCTTGAATCAGCTTGAAGAT